AATTAGATTGGATAACGTAGACAATGCGGATATCAAATGCTTGGAACTAAAGAAACGGCAACAGGACATGCATGTCTAACGGTGAGAGAGAGGTCCAACGCTGCCAACTTTTGTGCCCAACCCGCATAGCTTGTCGATCCTCTCAAACCTTTAAAAACGGGGCCCTGCAGAATCCTACAAAAGAAGTCTTAAGTTGATGGGGGAGCGTGGCCCCCCCAAATTCACTTCGGTGGCTCTGTGCTGGAAGCGACTACCCATCCTCCAGTCCTTCCAGCGGTCGCCTCCCTGGTTCGCCTCCCTGCGACAAACACGACTTCGGGTGAATCAACCTCGGTTTCCGGCCACCGGTGCGCCATCCACCTGCACCATGAGGAAGACATATGAAGAGTGCCAGGTGGCCGGGGCCCCCCCAGTGGTCTTCCCAGACCCCAAGTGGTAGAAATAAATCCTCCCAAAACCGCTGACGGCTGAGGAAAGCGTCCACTCGTAATGGCTTGAGCTTGAAGGAGCTGTGTCGCAATGCTTGGCGCACCGCCGCTCCGGCCACGATTCGGTAGGCAACAGAGGGTTTGGGGTTCAGGGTTTCCGTTCTGTGGAAGTTTGGCCCAATCAAAAGAAGTGAATTTGTGTGAATTTCGATAGCTTAGCCTTGGTAGAGATTCATGATAAGCATCCTTTTTGATTATTGTTGCATGCAGAATCGTCGCACCCTATAGAACCAAGCCGGTTGGTAAGGAGGGTTTTCCCGAGTGAGAAGATCCTAGTGGTCCTGGTACTGTTTTGGAGGGTTTAGCGGTTTTACCCAGATCTTTCACTGGGTGGTCTGAATGGATTAAGGATTCATAGGGGTAGGGCCGCCCAAACATGATACGCGCGGACTTGTTCATTGATCCACCGGAATTAAACCAGATAATAGCTGCATTTTGCTGCTGCAATTCCTCACGGAATGGTTGGACTTGCGGGCTAGTCTGAAAGAACATGAATGTCCTGGCCTGATTTCTAGCTGAGCCCTCACAGGTGGTCAGAGGGTTCCGAGTTGGGATCTCGCCGGTCCTCCTGGAGACACCAAAGAACGAAGAAGAAGCTACTGCCTGGCTTGCAGAAAGAACATCAAAGAAAGGAACTGGACATGTTGGGACATCCATGCTGGGCATTCGAAGAGTGTGCTTCTCCGCAGAACCCACACATGCTCCACGTTGAGGCCTTGACCGCGAAGTTCCTGTGCTTCTTGGTCTTTCACTTCTCGCAGATCTTTTTGAATCGGCGCCTCGTCCACAAAACTCAGGGTCCTAGTGCTGAAGCAGAGCGCAGTCAGGGCCACTTCGGTGACAGTGGTTTCAGAGTGGTTTATGTATCATATATTGCCATCTGGGCCCGATATAAAAATATTTTTTTAAAACACATCTTTGGGGATCATGCCATCTACTCTGAAACCACTGTAATGAGTCTAGCATGTGAAGGGTGACATTTAGCAGCTGCGGTGACAATCAGCTTGATGTCAGACCTATTTCGAGGCCCAGCTTCCCAACTGTGCCTTTTTGCAGGGAGGAGGCGATTGACATACACCTAACAACTGGAACCTGAGGGGTCAGTGAATCGATTCTCACGAGAAGCCCACTTCATCAGCACCTCTGACTGCAGCACCTGTTCCTAAAGTTCACAGTAAAGACACGTAAAGCCGCCCACAGCCCAATGACTGGAAAGCATAATGACTCAATGATCCCATCACAAACACCTGTTTCATCCTGAAACTCAGGTGTCACTCATCCTGTTTCAGTCACTCATCCGCCCTGGGTCGGTCACGCCACAGACTTCGTTTATCGCGGGTCTATCGCGGCTGCGCACGTGAGGTGCCTCATGGGTTGGATGGAAGCTGAGCTCCGATGGAAGAGCCAACGACGCTCAGACCGGGCAGGGCCGGTGGTGTCAGGAGATGCATGAAAAATCATCTAAACCCCCTCTCACCAGCCTTGGTTTACAAATCAAGCCTCTTAGCTCATTGAACTTGGATGAATTCATTTGGATGAATTCATGTATACCCTCTTGCTCATGTGACGAGCTGCATTCCTACGTAAAGACCCACCGAGGATTGAGCTCAGGCCTGGATGTGGAGTTCCACTTGGCGCCCCTTGGACCTGGTTTTCTGCTGCGCATGTGTTGCGATTTCAGATCCACCAAGCCCAAAACACTCCATGCATGGCATATTTACAGTATATCACAATACACAACAGAACTCCCTAAACCTTAATGCATGTCATCATAGATCATGAAATTTTCATGGACCTGTCAATGCCGTTCATGAATGGCGCCTGAAATTGAGCCTGGGTGCCCACCAAGACTGGCTGCACAATCCTGGCAAGATTGAAAACAGCTTCAAAACAGTCTCATTCCCAACCGTCTTCGCTATCTTGGCCAATTCGATTTCCGAAGCTGATGTGTTGCCTCAGCCAGCTTGCCCTTCCGATGTCGCAAGGGCTTTGCCTGCTCCATGAAGGCGGCCAGCGCCAAAGCATGTCCAAGCCGAAGACCCCTGGTAAAACGAAGACAGGATCCGATCAGACGACCCATATGCTATGATTGAGGTTTTAGGATTCAGTGAATGGTGGTCTTGAGATGTCTTGAGGATGGTGTTCATTCAAAGCCGATATTGCTCCAGGATCACTTAATGTACAGCATTGTACTGCTATAGGCTTGGCTAGAACACACGGGGAACCCATTTGACATTGTTTGATCGGGAAAAAAACTTCTTCTCCAACTGCCCCGGAGAACAGGGGTGAACCCTCAGCACTCCGCTTGAAAGGGAAGCAGATTGAGTAGATGGACGAAGGGCACAGTCCACCCGACCCCTCCGACTACTCCGCGTCCGACGGCGTCGGGTTGCTGCGGCTGAAGGCTCTTCAATGTGCTGCAGTCGGCTGCTGGCTTCATTGCCATTCCACTCTTCAGCTATCTCGTCGGGAGGCGCGGTCGGCCTTTCGTCGTGGTCGTGGCGTTCGTCGTGGTCGGCGTGGCGAGTTCGGCGAAGAGCCGCGCGGAGTGCCGAACGCGCGGAGTGCGGGTGTGCCGCTGCGTGGCTTTGTTTCTCCGAAGAGAAGCAACTTAAGGACTACTGTATATAGTGACGAGGAGCGGATAGGAGCGGAGCCAATGAATGAATCCGATCAGTGTGAGGACAGACTCGGGTCAACTGATGCTTCTTGAGAGTTGCTTGGTCCGCCTTCCCCAACCAATCAGCGGGCGTTTGCGGTTTCGAGCCCGGCGAGGTATGGCCACCGGCACGCGCCCTTTTGCGCCACAGCACTGTTGGCTGCAACTTGGTGAGATCTCGTCGATGGGTTCGCGGGAAATGGAGATGTTTGGCTTCAAAGCTTTGATGATGTTTGACAGTCATCATGTATGATATAGCATGATCCCACGCCGATATATTTAAGACACGTGAGAGATGTCAACATTTGCCGGTGATCTATGGCGCACTTGGATCTCGCCCTGGCTCGGTCCATGCCAGGTGTCCGAGGTTCGCGACCACCGTCCCCCAACTGGTGGTGGCATCCATGGAGCAAACAGCTCGAAGTGGAATGAAACCCACATGAAACCACGTCACGGAATCCAAAAGGATCCAATCCCTCAGACACCAAGTCGCTGCTTGGCTCTTAGTGCCCTCCCCTCTGCTTCCCTGCTTCCCCACGTGGCCGCTGTGGCCGCACAGAGGTGGTCTTTCTCAGCGTTCGGCCCTTTGCCTCTGAGCCACTGGACGATGAGTCGCTTGAGGGTCGGTTGAGGGTCGGGAAGGGAATCTGGGTGATTAAGAGTGAGGATCAAAAGCACTGACTTAATGGCTTTTGGAACCCACGGATGGCTGATGCAAGTGTATGCCTGATGCCTGATGGAGTTTTTGTCGGGCACTCAAAAAAAGGAATCATTGCAGCTTTTTACACTGTGAACCTCGCGTAGGATGAACCATGTTGTGGATGTTGGGATGTCGTGTTTGGTTTGGACACTTTGTAGGTGTGTCAGGGAGCTTCAGGATGCTTCAGGTATCAGAGTTCACAATGCAGACGGCCAAGCTATCCAACAGTATCGATGTTCCTGGTCCCCTCGAGGTATTTGGGCATCGAAGTCCGGAATGTCCTTTGTGAGGAATCTCTCAATGTGCGGATGAATCATGTGGTTGTTAAGTCCGAAATCAGGCCTAAGACGCTATTTTAAGGATCAAGTCCAAGGTTGCCTTGAAGACATGTCAATGTATGTCACATGTGTTGTGTGTGTGTGTGTTTTTTTTCTGAGCTTGCCTTGTGTCAAGTTAAAAGTAATATCAAGTTGGACACACCGTAGCTCTTTTGGTTGTATTCAGGATGTCTATACTTACTTTGCACCAGCCCCCAAGGTAAAGTATTAAACACGGTTCATGTTGCACTCTTAAATCAACAATTGAACATTCACAAGTAGCTGGATGGGCAACAAACTGCTCACTGCTCTCACTCTTGTTTAATGCGGGCCCACATGACACTGGTCCAATGACTCTGTAGCAACCTGAACCAGGGACACGAACGAAGCTGAGTATGTCTAAACAACCCAGCACCCACCGTTCGTGGAGGGATTCAACCTCAAATCCATGAAACCCAAGGTAATCCAAGCCATTGTCGCCGTTCGGATCGAGCTTTTCGGGGTGCTTTTCGCTGGTTGGGACCGCCCAAAGTGCCACCATCGAATCTCAACCGAGGTGGCTTCTCCCGGTGCTTTACATGACGTCCGCCTGTCATCGCCGCTTCCGCTGCATGGGAGGGTTTTGGAAAGGACAGCGGCTCAGTGGCCTGCACTGCCGGGAACAGGGTTTGATATACTCACTCCACTTACAGCTCTTGAGTCAAACCCCAAGTTGTTGGAGTGCAGAAAATGGCGAACTAGCTAACTAGCGTCAAGATTTCGGAGAGGAGAGGGTGGGATCAATACCCCAAGACTGTATTTTGACTACTCCTTCGGGTAAACCACCACTTCGGCATTCGGAATTCAACCAAGAGTCTTGCAAGGGGCCGTGGAGGTTTTGTGTTGAGTCATTGGACCGAGGGCTACAGAAGTTTGTTCTCCTCAGAGAGGACAGACTCCCGCTAGCCCAGGAGGCCTAAATCAACATAGTCTCTTGATCAAGGATGGATATCGGGATATCAGAAAGATTGTCTTTCTCAAGTTGCCCACAAGTTCGGGCTCTGTATGTATATTGGCGGACCCCGATTTGATGGACTCTGGACTTAAGAGGCCTGTTTGGCAAGCCTGGTGGAGTGATGGAGATGACAATCGACCGACTATCAGAACACACGTTCAGTTCAGCTGATCTCATCAGCTGGCTCAAAGCGACGTCTTCAGCTGGCAGCAGCTGGCTCATGACAATCCTTCCATAGGTCATCATAGGTCCATAGGCTGCCGCTTTTCGCCATGCTTTCAAGGTCATTCCCAATCGCTTTTCGCTTGCAGCACATTTGTCCCACCTTGCGGGAAAGGAGTTTGAGCTGCGTGAGCTCTTCGGTTGCGGAGCTTGGCAGTGCATTGAAGACTGACGAGCTGCAACGCTTGGTGAAGGAGGCGCGAATCCATAGGAAACCCACGTGCGTGAGAGCTTCGAAGACTTCGAGAACCCTGGGCGATGGTAATGGCTCATGGCCGTGCCATGCTTGTGGGACTGTGAAACTAGTGGCAGACTTTGATGTGAGGGCAAATGGTAGTGTTTCATCATACTGCAAAAGCTGTCGCAAAAAGAAATGCATTGACTACAAACGCACTCTTCGTGGAAATGCCAGTACTCTTGTTTGCAGTGCAAGGCACCGAGCAAAAGTGAAAGGTTGGGCTTGCAATTTGGACATCGACTTCATCCTTGATAAGATTCTTCATCAACAAGGAAGATGCGCGTACTCGGGTGTTCAGATGGAGATGCTGCTGCCGCACTCAGACTGGCGTATGTCGTTGGAAAGGCTAAACAATGCTATCGGGTATGTTCAAGAGAACTGTGTGCTCATTGCAGCGGAGTTTAACACAACTGAGACGATCAGCAGAAGGGTCGCAATGGAAGCCACGTCCGGATCTTCCAAGTGGTCTCTGCAGAAGGTCAAATATTTCAGAACTGAACGGCTTTTCAATGTGGACCTGCAAGTCTTGGATATGTTGATTGAGGCTGCGAGTATTCCATATCAATCAATTCAATCACCGGCTGTTCTCACTCCCTCCGAATGTCAACGTGAGGGGCTCTTCAACCACTTCAGATGCTCAAAGTGTGGGTCCTGGAAGCCTGCCACTTATTTTTCTCACAGCCGCCGCAGTAGGACCGGCCTCCGAAGTCAATGCAAACAATGCGATTGCAAGTACAATTTTGCCCGTCGGCTGACTCTACGTGGTCATGCCCAAGAGCTGCTCAACCATGCCCGTGGCAGGCACAAACTCGGCAAGTGGCGCGGCAACTTTGAACTTAACATAGATTCAGTGCTGGAAACTTTGCGGTCTCAGCGAGGGCGTTGCTTCTACTCCGATGTCCCATTGAGCTTTGCACAGCTCAATGTTGATTGGATGATGTCACTTGAACGACTGGACAACAGCTGGACCTACACCAGAGAGAACTCGGTGCTGGTGGCATTGGAATTCAACACGGCGGTTCAAAGCCGAACTGCATCGGAGGTGTTTGGCTCTGGCCAATGGTCGAGGAGGAAGGTGGAGCATGTTTGGGGGAGTTTGGAAAAGTCCAGTCCCGTCGAGCTTTTGTGATGCAAGAAGTGCTTGCTGGCTTGTTTGGAGACCAATGGCAGGCGTTGGATATTGGCCAGACCTTGAGAGAAATTCTGCACGACCTGATAGTCACGCATCCACCCTCCAAGTAATCCTGTGACCTTGGATCCACTGGCCTAGATCACGTTGATGACGTTTGGAGTTGTGGGGAGCTTGTAAAGAGCAGGGCCTGGTCATTGGAGGTCAAAGTGCATTGGCTGCATTGGAGTTTGTGCGTGAAAGACTCTTGAGCTGGACCGAATAGATTCAACAGATTCGACTTGGCGGGGAGAGAGAGAGAGAGGGAGAGAGAGGTTCAAATCCTTATGGGTTGTAGCCCGGACCCTGGTTGTGTACACCATGTGTTCCAAGGCTTTTCGGTCATGGGGGGGGCACTGGCGGTAGAGGGCTTTGACCATGGCTGTCGAGTTTTGGGGGACGATAGGGTGGTCTCCATGCCGACTGAGTGACCAATCAGGAGATACTAGTATTTGAAACAGTAGGTAGTATTGGCTAATGAGTCTGTGGCTGTTTTCACTGTCTTCCAAAGAGTTTCAAAGAGTTGTACTTCTGGGCCAGGCGATCATCGGCTCGTTAGGGTCCTCGGTGCCAGGCTTGGCGCAGTCAGAGTCCTTGCGTCAAGCCTGGATTGGAGCCGTTGCTTAAGAATCTGCGATCAGTAGGACCCCAATGCCCTTTTGTGTTTTCACTCCAAGACCTTGGTAACTAGGCCGCGCTACAATTGGCTATAGCTGTTTGATGTTTTTCTTTTTTCCCACCCTCCCTAGGGCTCAAAGTAACTATATACCTCCGTTTCGAAGTTGGTTTGGGGTGGGCGTGGGGGACCAGTTGTTCTGTCAGTGACGCCCAATTTGCTCGATGGTTTATGCATGTTTATGCTAGTGAACTTCGTGAACCGGTCCATCAACATCCACAGATCAGGCTCGAGTACCTGTGATAACCGATCATGGTTTCAACTTTCAACTAGATCCGTTCACAGACACCTCACTTGCCTCGATCCAACCCTAGAAACCTGAAGCACGGTTTTCACTGCATCCACTCACATCAATCTCACCACCGTCACTACCCTTGAGATTCCAAGTAGAGTATATTACCAAAGCTAGCCTTCGTAGAAGGCGCCAGCTGAGTTGTGCTTGGCGAACGAAGTGAGTAGTTAGGGGGTCTGGGGGGGTGGCCCGCAAAAGGTACACGTAAACTCGGCACATGCTGGGGGAGGAGGGTGCATCGAGGGAAGGTTTTTTGAGGTTGTGTTGGAGGTGATTTTTGAGGGGTGGTGATGCAAGAAATGCAATTTGCATCATTTGCATCATCTGAATGGAAAGGTGTAGTTGGCACCTTGCCAGGTATAGATACCCAGGGTAGCTATAGTGCAGCTACCAGGTATAGTACTTCAAGTTCCCTTTCCGTCAGCCGCTCGATAACCTCTACACACGCACAGCAATCCACAGCTTTGAAGCCTCATGCGCGCGATACCTGGGAACAGAATTGTAGCTACCCTGGCCGAAAAGCTATGTTGCTATACCTCTTACACACCTATACAAGTTCAAAGCACGAATGAGACTTCAAAGCTGTGGTTTGCTGTGCATGTGTGGCTCGAGAAAGATATACGTAAACTCTGGGAGGTGATGCTTTGATGCTCTTGGAGCGGGTGGTGACGCACTCGCCAACTAGAACATATACCCTTCAATAGGAACTCGAACAGCTCAAATCCAGAAGATTCTGAAAATGGCCTGGCTCCCTATATGAACCCTGGGAAGACTGGGAAGCGAAGAGGTGGAAACAGCTGGGAGGTCTTGAACTTTTAAGTAAACAAAAGGCCACATTCAAGCAGCAGAAGGACAATGTGCATCCTTTGCTCTCGCTTCGCAGACCTTCATTTTTAAGGTGGCCTGAACAGAGTGTTTTAGGGCAGCAAACCCTGGTCTCAGGCCACCTTGAATTTAGCTTGAAAAACTGCTTGTTTTAACAAAAGCCTTGTCACAGAGACACCTCAGGACCCTTGCTTCGCATATCTTCATTTTTGAGGTGGCCTGAACATATAGTTTCGGGCAGCGAGCCTCTGGTCCCAGGCCACCTCGAATTTTGCCCTAAAAACTTTCTACTTGAACGAATGCACTTCCAATCATATGACAACCAATCGTATGTTCAACCAGGTGCAAGGTCAATGTAGGTCAATGTGCATTTTTTGGCTTTTGCTTCATCTGAATGTGGATGGGAATTATCTATGTGTCAACAGAATGTTTTTTTTTCAAACGAAATTCAAGGTGGCCTGGGGCCAGGCGTTTGCTGCGCCACCTCAAAAATGGAAGCGCTGGCTTTCGTTTTGCCGCTTCTCAGGTATAAGATAGATCTGAAATTCCCGGTTGGAATCCAAGCCGATCCCTTTCAGGCCAGACCCTTCAATGCGGCACGTCCCGTTCCCCCCCCCTGCGCGGGTACTTCCCTTGATCCATCGACTAGGGACTTCCAGCGATCCAACGGATTGAGAGTTCAATTCGACCGGGATTGGCAGAGTGGGAGCTGTGCTTCGGTCTCAGGTCAGATGTTCTTCTCCACCTTCTTCACCTTCATCTCTTCGGCGGCTTGAGCTCAAAACGTTCTCAAGGGGATGCTTTGGTATTGCACCCTTGTGAATGTTTGATGAGAGAAGGCTCTAATGAGACGGAACTTGCCAAGCGAATATGGGAGATCGACAAGTCCTATGTCATCACAGCATTTCTCTGACTTTGGGGTTTTCGTTTTCGAGGTCCCCGGTCTACTCTCGAAACCACATTTGGACACCTTGCAACCTGCACGCAAATCATGCACAAGTCCTATGTCATTGATTGGTATGCCTGCATGCCTTGTCCTGTACTCCTATCTCACGGGCTCAGTATGAGGGGACTTAAGATTTTGAGATTCTTGGGCCAGCCAAGAGCTGCATGCTGTTTTTGTTCGTGGTATATAGCACTGAAGCATACTCAAGTCATCAGACCTTGAACCATGAGCCCATCAGATGGTCGGTGACTGGTCCGGCAATCGATCCGAATTCGTGGACTGCGGATGGCCGGTGGTTGGCTGTTGCTCGGCAATGGACCGATTGCCCGTGCTGTTGAGCTTGCAGGTTCTTGCCGGTTGACCATATGCTTGCAATAATGTCAATATCGGTGGGGGACATGTATAGCTTGGGTCTGTCCTATTACCTGTAACAGTATGTAACAGTCAGTAAACAATTATCACTAGTTTTGAAAAAGGCCTTTACTAACTATTCATCATCCTCCACTGTTACTGGTAATAGGATAGACCCAATGGAAAGCAGCTTGGCAAGTGGCCAGGCACTAAAATCACTTGACTTTTTGTGGTATCGCACCAGGTACAACTATGAAACATGCGCATGAGCGCACAGTTTGTTCCTGAAGAGCTTTCAAGCTATAACCGCAACATCACTGGCCAGGAGCCTCTTGTTGGAACAGTATGGTTTGCTCCCACTTGAAACTGCATGCTCGTTTCAGCGTTGAAGTAGAACCAAGCAACCAAACCAAAACTGAAGCATGAGCCACACCACGTGGCTCCGCCACCACGCTGTCGGGGCTCCACCTCCGCCACCACGCTGTCGGGGCTCCTCGCAGCGCTTCGAGGAGTATCCGGGGCAGCTCTTCGCCACGCTGTCGGGCTTCGCCACCGGGACCTGAAGAACGGTGAAGAAGGGGAAGAAGATGTGAACGAGATGTGGAGAAGCTCGACCCCCCTGGGTGAAGGGGTTCAAATAGACCGACATGCAAAAACCAAGCAAGACCAACCGTGCGTCAGGCGGATATCCATCCCTATTCAAAAAGCACGTAAATCACGGGTTGATAAGCAAGATGGTGTTGACCTCAGTGGCTCGGCCGAGGCGATGGATGCCCTCTCAAGTCATCATGAAAACTGAGCAGAACACCTGTGAAAGGGCCAAGTAGTGAAAGAAGAAATGTTTGGCCGTCCAACAGAAACAGGAAGTATAAGCTGTCATATTGCTCGCCGTAGCCAAAGGCTAATCTCCTGGAGAGGGCGATGGAGAGAGAGAGAGAGAGACACTGTCATCATTAATAATATGAAACAAATATATAACTTTAAAAAAAAAAAAAAACATGTGTGTCCTTATCATTGAGCTGTTGATTTGAGATGCATGAAGTCTTAGAAACCATGGGGTTGAGCTGAGGTCTTGTGAGCCGAGATTTTGAGTGGATGAAATCCATCAGCAGCTTCCTCATCCTCTCCATCATGATCCACCATCAGGTCACATTCATCTCATCATGTTTTGGGTTGGTTTGAGTACCTTTAGGAGGTCACATTCATCTCATCAGGTCTTTGTTGGTAAAGTTTGGGTACCTTTAGGTACCTGATTCACCATTGGTGGCCTCATGCATCTCATCATGGCACCTGAGGCCAATGTCCTTGCGGGCTTGGGTACCACACTGCAGACACCACTGCTGGCCACTGCGCTGCGACATCTGGATGGAGACTTTATGGTCCTGTTGCTGGTGCAGTTAGGACGCCGTGCTGTCCACGGATTCCGCAGCACATCCACTTGGGTTGAGCTGACTGAATGGACTCTATGGGGACTTATTATGTAACTGGAAAGGGGGGAGTAGAGCCACTAGTTTGTAGAATAAAGGTTGCACTTGGTCTTAGAGTCTTAGATGTGTTTGCTTTTGTTTTGCAATGGCTTTGCTTCAGGCCCGACCACTGCAGGTAGGCCAGGAAAGAGGACAGGACATGATGTGAGAAGCAAGAGGCAAGAGGTTGGGATCTCCTCATTGTTGAGACACTCCCAATTTATGTGTTTGATATGGGGCAAACTATATAAACTGGATTAAACTGGGTTTGTGATAGGTGTTTTTTGAGGCTCAACAATACGTTCTGGTGACTTTTCCTTCCAACCGACCGGTGGGTCGTGTTCTTCCCGCTGAAAGGCAACAGCCAAAAACATCGAGGTTCACATTCTTTTTCCCGTATGAACTAATATCGCCATGCACCCTTTTCACTGCACGGGCACAGAGAAGCCCACTCAAAAAGTTAGTTAAAACATGCACCTGTTTCCCCTGCACCATGCGAAACACCCGGAGGATTTGCCATTCTGGTCTTGCTGAGCTGCATCCTCTTGTGGTGGCGAGACACACGACGGTGGCATTCTCAGCTGTTCCCACCAAGTGCCACAGTTTGACAACATGGGACGGACATCAGAGATTTATACAGAAAGATGATTGGAAAAAGAGATTATTGGAAAGAGAAGCAACATGCACCTGAAAA